CCAACACGAATAAAATGCAGTTAACAAACTAAAAATCTGAAAACCGGGCAAACATACCAACCTACCTTTAAAACCAATACAACAATAGCAACAACAACAAAAAATGCCAGTCAACATACAATGTTGTAAAACGTTCCCAAAACGAGCAAAAACAAAGTAGGCATGGGGAGTGTAATTCCAACATTCATACAACCGAACAGAGACTGAACCAACTACTCCAGTGGAGAAAGACCCACAGAAACAACAAAAAATACCGGTGAACGTTGGCGGCGGCGGTTTGAGAGCTACAACAATTGGAGGCTGTTGGCTGCAGCCAGCCAGTAACACACGCACGCACACACACTCACTCACACTCAGATAGTGTGCCTCACGCCACAGCGAGTACCCCCAAAAAAGTTATACACAAAAAACTACTTTACATGTTGTGTGCTGTTTGATGTTGCCTTACTCTTGTTGGTGTTGTTGTTGTTGTAGATTTTTGAGATACAACAACAGCCACAAACACAATTATGATGACAATTCATGCAAACCAAAGGGTTTTGTCCATGCCTCGACAAAAAATCAAAAACTCAACGGGAGAGCACTGAGAGAGTACGCCAAAAACAACACACAACATTAGTCGTTGTAAAAAATATAAACACAGTTAGGGTTGTCGATGCATAGTAGTTAGGGAATTTGGATTTTTTTTGGACATAATGGTCTGCTGCCAATGATGGTTCTACACAGGAACCAATACCCCGGAACCGCTTTCGTATGACTTCGGGGTAAAGTTCATTGACTGGTCTACAGCCTTCATATTTGATCTACTAACCCATCCACACTTTTTATGCCCTCCACCTTGGAAAGGAGGGTATATTAGGTTAGGCTAGAGAATGCGCGGTTGCTTAACACCGCTCCACTCGGGGACCTGCTGATCCATTGTGATCATCCTGATAGAGTGAAAATAAAGATAGAAAGAACAAGTAAAAAAGCTGTAAGTTCAGCCGGGCCAAACTTTGAATACCCTCCACCATTTGGTACAAATTTGCCCATTTTCAAAAAAAAAATCCGTTAAAAATTCTGGTAAAATCTTAAAAATAAAGAATATAGCCGTATATTACGGTCTATACGACGACGTTGACCTGCATAGGCAACGTTTGTTATAATCTATTACAATATTCAAATGCGAAACTTGAAAAAATCTGTTTATAATGTAGCTAAAATCATCAAAATGTCGAATATAGTGAAATACCATAGGGGTTATAAAACGTGGACCTGCAAAGACAATTTTCTGTCATAGGCTGTAGTATCCGTTACGAACTTCAAATGCAAAATTGGAAACATTTCCGGTAAATAATGTCGCTAAAATCATCAAAATACCGAATATCGGGAGTTACCGTTATATGGGGGCTATACGAAGACGTAGACCTGCACAGACAATTTTCTGTCGTAGGCTGTAGTATCCACTACGAACTTGAAATACCAAATTTGAAACATTTCCGGTAAATAATGTCGCTAAAATCATAAAAATACCAAATATCGCAAGGTACCTTTATATGGGGACTATACGAAAACGTGGACCTACATGGACCATTTCCAATACCAAAAGTCCTGCAGACATAATACACATTTGAGTAAATTTTTATCAACGTACTTCATTTCTTTGCGAAGCTAGAGTGATTTCCACAGACGGATAGACGGACGGACATTGCTAATCGACCCTCCATACTATGGTGGAGGGTATAAAAAAGCTTATGTTAGAAGGGTAAATCCACGAAGAATTTATCGTGTTGTCTTTAGCCATTTTAGTCTTCTAGCTAAGTAAAGAATTGTTGACGTCTGAGTATTGGAGAGTATAGACAGATCATGTAGTTTTTACTTACTCTGACTCTAACAATCGTTGAACATTGACAGAGTAAGAATTGCGAAGTTTCTATCTCTTCCTAGTCTTGACAAAGCGTGCAATAATCAGTATCGTAAGCCCCCACTTAGAAGTCATGGCCCTAATATTACAGTGACCTGTGATTAAGCCTACTACAAGTTTTAGGTCCGATTTCGCCATGGAAATGAGTGATAAAGATCTCCTTTCGGAGATTACCGTCCAAATTTTTTTGGAAGCAATGCAACAGCCTCTTGCTTTTTGACATTTATGCTGAAATCTTTCAGAATAGTGTCTGTGTATAATTTGGAAGAATTGACACAAGGGTGGTTTCCCCGAACTCTCAAACTCCCTGTATATATTGCTCCACGTATTCGTATAGCCTCCATATAAGGTTAGTTCCTGATATTCAGTATTTTGATGACTTTTGCCACTTTTTTCAGCGGATTTGTCCAAAATTTGTCCCATAGAGGAGCATTTTTCTACAGATTTGTCTAAAAATTGGTACTTGTAGTTCGTAATGGGTTCTAGCTCCGGTGGTAGAACAGTGAATATCTAGGTCCACGTTTTCCTATAACGTACATATAACGGTTCCATGGGATATTTGTTGGTATTTTGACGATGTGAGCCACATTTTTTAACAGATTTGTGTGAAATTTGGTGTTCATACTTCATAATGGGTTTTACAGCCAGCGTTAAAACATTATCCACATTGATCCAAGTCATCCTAGTCAGGCCACATCAGTAAACCGTGGTGCTATTTGTTATTCTTCAGATGGCATACACTTTTGGGAATAGCGTGGCCCACTCTGGGTTTTTTATTCCAGGCATACAGTTTCGGTTACCTACCCTTTTCATTACTATCTTGTATGGAAGGCTCTGTGGGTCATTTTGGACTTCATCGCATAAAGATATTCAGGCTTTTTCCTTGCACTCTTTTATAGCTGCCCGTAGGTTACGTCTGGCATATTCCCAGCTTTATAGCTGCAAATTCATAGGCCTTCGAGGATATAAAAATTTAAGGAACCTTTTTTCGTGGACCTTTAAGGTCTTGAGCAAACTTTTCATAGGTCTATGTATGTTAACTTTGTCAGAATTTTTAAAAATGGCAGATGATTATTTATTAGGTTTATGTTTTCTCAAACCCCCTATATTCGGTATTCACATGATTTCAGCCACTTTTCAGCGGAATCGTTTAAAAACGGTATGCAAAATTTGTAATGGGCTCTGTCTTCAGTGACAGACGACTGATTAAATATGCCATTTTTTTATTGCTCATTTAGCGGCACCTCTGAATATTTTTATATTGGCAATTTTAGACACATTTTATTATTTATTTTATTTCTAAAATGCACCCATTGCAAAAAGTGGACCGATATAACCCATTTTCTTTACCTGGATCCAAAAATCTCTATCAAATTTCTAAGCTCTGTCCTAAATATTGCGAAATATATGCAATCATATATAGAGGTACCATTATATATGGTCACAACCATGGTACGATAAAAAGGTATGGTAGAGCTACCAACTGCGTACAATTTTTTTCCAAGTATGCCCAATTTTGTGTATGCGCACTAGAGCTATTAAACAGTTTTGCCTTGAAATTGAAGGATTGAGCAGTTTAGGTCATATTTTGCAAGGGAAATCAGGACATTTGCTTTATTTTTCCCGCTATTAATCTCATTTTAAAAAAGGAATAATATCGATGTTGTTCTACCTCCTAATTGTACCATGGTCACAACTATAAAAGAGCCTTAACAACATTTGGCCAGTCGCTTTTAAATTTTCTTCATTAAGCTCCGTATTTGGGTTTTGCCATACGCAGGTCATGCCATCCGATCAAATATGTAAATATGGGACTAATGAAAAAATGACTGATTCCCAGAAGTCTAAACCTATGTTTTTTTATTTTTCATCTCGGCCATGAAATTCGTGATCCCCCAGTTGCAGTTTCAACGCAACATGTTTTGCCAAGGCTATTTTAAATTTCAATGGTTAGTTTTGGGGCCGACAGTCTAGTATTAGCGTCAGTTGCATTGAAAATTTTACGCAGCTCTGCCCTTATTGCGCACCTGATTTTTGAAAGAAAAGTCATCTGCGAAAATTTGAACTCTAGGCATGGTAAATGCATCAACGGGAACATTGATATGTCAAAGACTTGAAAATGTTTTGACAAAATAAGTAGATTTTGATATGATTTCTTATACGACGAATCTCGGGGGTTGTTATGATATGAGTTTTCAACAATTTTTACAAATTGCAATAATTTTTCATTCAAAATTTTCTGCCCTTATTGAGAATGACTTTTGAAACAAAATCATCTGCGGAAAATTTGCACTCTAGGCATGGTAGATGCATCAACGCTTGAGAACATTAATATGTCAAAAATTTTAATTTTTTTGACAAAAATAAGTAGATTTTTATATGATTTCTTGTACGACGAAACTCTGGGTTGTTATTCTTCTACCATGGTTTACCATACCATGCTTATTTTTTAGGATTTTTTTGTTGTATAATTATAATTCATTTTTACACGATTTTTCCATTTCAAAATTCATAAAAAATAATCACTTTTTTCCTTCGAAAAGATTTACTCGACAAACTGTGTGCTTTAAATTTTACCCTATTGTTCATGGCGTTCCAAAATCGTATTATCACATAGCCACCACATTCTCATTAATTATTAAGATAAATGAGTGTTCATTTGCATAAATACCTGAGTTTTGTAAAAATGTGTTACCCCTTTTCTTAGGGTGACACATTTTTTTTTTCTCAAAATTTCCTTACGACCCCCAGAAGATGGTCCATTTCTTATGACCCAGTGATTTTTTTCCACTCAATATCGACAACCCTACCCCCAAAGTAAATGCGACACACAACTCAATGGTTTGTTGGGAGATATCAAAACACACACGCACACATAGAGAGCACGAGAGAGTGAGAACACAAATTGTGAGAGTCAGGAAAATTGTTGTTTTTCTTCCTTTTAATTGAATGGGTCGTGTGAGCGGCTGTTTTTCGGTGGTGGTTCGTCATTTGTTGCGCAGTGTTACGAGAGAATTACAAAAAAAGAAAAACAAAACACCACATCACACAGATACTCCGTTTGTGTGCGGTGAGAGCCAGAAACAACATTGCGAGAGCGAGAGTGAGCATAGATTTTTTCGCTGAAAAAGAAAAAAATTCAATTACTCTTCAAAAAGATTTTTTGTTGCTACTTCACTGACAGTTAAGTTTTTGCTATGCCGTGGTGAACATTATTGAATTAATTCGTAAGCGGACGGACACACAGACAACACAGTCTGGCCAAAAAAGAAGAAGAAAATCTCACACACAGAAATGAAATAATAAAAAAAAAACAAAGTAGAAACACAAAAAGAATGAAATAACCCAACCAATCTACTACTGCTGCTGATGTTTTTTTTTTCTTTTTGGTGTGTAACAACAAGAAAGTCAAAAAGAAAATACACCAAATACGCGAAGGAAACAAAACAAAAATTTCGGATAGATTGAAATGAATTTTATTCGATTATTTGGGTGAAAGAAAAACAACAAAAAAAGGAAAGGAAAATAGTAAAAAATGCAATGAAGTGTAGCCATTTGGGAAATGCCTAAAAAATAATTTAAATAAAAAAAATAGAAAAAAATTGAATTTCAAAAAAAAAAAAATATTTTAAAGATTGTGAGGAAAAATAAACCCAAAAGGGAAAAAAACGAAAATATTGAAATTTTTTTACTGAAAGAAAAACAAAACGTCCATTATTGTGAGAGTGTGTGCGTTGTTTTTTACTTACAAAAATCAAATCAAGTGTATATTTTTGGTGCGCGGCCATTTTTTTCGATTTTGTTCGCTGCTGCCTCCTCCTTCACAATCGTTCATCCGTCACCTACTCCACCTCACTCGCTGCGCCTCCGCCGCCACGTCCCTGCATCTCCTCGTTCGCATTCGTTCGTTTTTTGTCTAAGTGCGGGTTTTTTAGTTTGCCTGCTGCCATTGTCGCGTTCTTCTGCTGCTACAACTGCCTCATGTTGGTGTTTTTGTTGTCGTGCTGAATTCGTGTGTGTCGGTCGGTTGGTCGGTCGTACATACGTCTCTTTGTAGCCAAAGAAGGAGGCAAAAAACACAGTGTGGAAGAATAATAAATACAAAAAACGAAAAAAAAATTTTGCAAGTGACGAAGTTTTTTTGCGTTGCCCAAAAGAAACGTCAGCCAGGCAGCAACAACAACAACAAGAAAATAGTGCACAACAAAAGAAAGGCACTAAAAGTAATACCCCCCAAGAAAAAAGAGCGCAATTTATAATTAACAACACAAAAATAATAAACGGAACGCAAAACCAAACAATTTTGTGCGTGACAAATAATCGAAAACAAACAAAGTGATGATGATGAGTGTGAAATAACTTGAAAATGCAAAATTATTCAAGAATCTTTGGAAAAAATATCGAGCAGTGAAAAAATCAATAAACCTCTTTTTTTGCTAAACGAAAAGTTCAAGTACCTGCTTGCCCCCACAATAAGCTGCGACAGCAACAACTACAATAACATAATAATCATCATCGTCGTCTTCTTCTTCGTTGCCATCTCGTCGTTGACGTCGTCATTAGAAGAAACATCATCTTTGTTGTTGGCGGCATAGTCGTCGTTGCTCGTAATAATCTCAAAAAAAGTTTTCCCTCCTTGTTGTGGTCTTCATCCTCTCCCCCACTTGAGATTCATTTTCCAATAATAATTTGTGCAGTTATTTGTGAGAACAACAGCAACAACAAAAAGTAATTTCGAGCCGACAACCGACAACATCTTTGCATTCTAACACGTGCTGTTGCAAGAGGGGAGAAACAATTTGTGTACTCCCACCCACCCACTCAGGAGAGCCAAAAAAGGTTTGTATTCAAAGAGAATGGATAGTTGTAAGGAGTTTCTATCATAGGAAACTAATTTTAGTTCCTTAAAAAAATGGATCAAAAACAAGTTTTTTAAAAACATTCACAACTATTTATACAAGATTTTATAGAAAAGTTTTCAAAAATGTTCTTAAAATGTTGTAGAATATTTTTATTACCAATGAATTTTTTGAAATTAAAAAATACCTATTAGGAATAAAAAAAATACTATTGCTATATAAACTTTAAAACTATTATTAAAGATTAGAAATATTTAACTATTTTTGAATATTTGATCAAATATTTGGGAGTCCACGGTAAAGTCTCCCTAAAAATATCTTTTTAAAAATATATAGCTTGAAAAATATTCTTCAAAAGGATTATATATAAAAAAATTTTAAAAAAGGTCTTGACAAAATGTTCTTTAAATGGGTTAAAAAGTAAAAGTCGGGCAATGTCCGTTTATTGAAATAAATTTTGACTTGCGGTATGATTATTAAAATGTTGACCCTTAATTAGGATTACTGAAGGAGTAAACCAATGTTTTCCATTTCGTATCTGATCTAAGTCTGACATAAAAATTATAACGTACCAGATTATAGTTCTAATCTCGTAGTCGACTACTTCCTTCACTTCCTATGAGATATGTGATCATTTAGATAATGTTAAATTGGAGGATTCCAAATATAGTGGACCGATGTATTCCACTTCGTCTAATACTGATAAAAATATTGGAATGTGCAAAAATTCATGAAAACCAATATTTATTTCCAATTTTTTATTTCCCATTGTTAATCAAAATGTTAACACTTTTTGGAATTGGTTAGGAAAATGTTTAGATATTCCAAGAATCTCTGACTTGTTTCGCAGGAGTTAAGGGATAAAATTATTGAAAATTGTACACCTTTGTGGCAGAGGTGCCAGGAGGCGCGATATCATCTACCATCTTAACAACAGATCTTATGTTGGTAGAAATATTACGATGTGTGGTGTTTGGAATGAATTGCTTATTTCGCATTTTATGAGCGTTTCGGTTATTCAAAATGTTAACCCATTGTTGGGGAGGTACCAGAGGGAGTGGACCAACATATCCCATCTTCACGCCCCCCCGTTGAGTAACACTTCAATAACTTTACTCATTGATTATTTTACAAAAAAAAATATTGTTTCTTTGATTTGTTTTTGTTTATTTTAACAATACCAAGAGTAGTTAAAACCTAATGGTAGTAATAGTTCTTAACATTTTAGATTTGATTAAAAATATATTCTTATAAACTTTTGAAATACTTTGAACAACAATTTGGAAGTACCGTTATAATCCCTATTTTAGGGAGAATTTATCTATACACAAAAAGAACCCTAATAAACAAAAAAGAGCAGTATGTTCGAAAATTGAAGACGAAACTTTAAAAAAGCAGATGACCAGGAATTACAGGGAGAGGAGGTTATACCAAAAAAATGACCTACATTGCATTGTTCATACAATGTCTATGTTGGTTTAAAGTCAAATCGTCGCATATTAGAGCTGTAACTATAGGGTGTTGTTTATACCCTGCACCACACTGTGGTCATGGTATTATGTTTGTAACAGGCAAAAGGAAACGAGATAGACACATAGTTCCTTTTGATGATCTGCATAGAATCACATTCTGAGTCGATTTATGCATGTCCGTCTGTCCATGTGATTTTGTAAACAAAGAACGGTTCGCATTTATTACCCTATCCAGATAAAATTTTCCACAAGTCATTTGTTTGGCCCAAGGACGAACACTATTGAAATTGGAGATAATCGCTAAAAATTTGGATATAGCTCCCATATATATCTTCGTCCGATTTGCCTTTTACTGTGCACCAAACGTGTAATATCAGCCCGAATAGTATGGAATTTTGCACATACAACCAAATTAGGCCTAAAAATAAGTGTGACAAATTTGATCGAAATCGGTTCAGATATAGCTATACCTCCCATATACATATATCGTTCATCCGATTTGTTACTTTTGTCCACCGCAGCCGTAATATACACTCTGTAACAACAATATTTGGGGAAATATATCAAATACAGCTCAGAAATACATTTGCTAAATTTTATCGAGATCGGTTCAGATTTAGATATGGCTTCCATATATAACTTCGTCCGATTTACCTTTTATTGTGCACAAACGTCTAATATTTGTCCAAATGGGGTGGAATTTGGCACTTACGACCGAATTGAGTCTAGAAACAAGTATGTCAAATTTGTTGAAGATCGGTTCAGATATAGCTATAGCTCCCATCCATATGTACTGTTCATCCGATTTGTTATATTTGTTACCCACAGCCGTAATATGCACTCAGTAACAACGATATTCAGGGAAATATATCAAATACAGCTCAGAAATATCTTTGCCAAATTTTACCGAGATCGGTTCGGATTTGGATATAGCTCCCATATATATCTTTATCCGATTTCAAATTAATTGTGCACCAAATGGGCAATACAAGTCCGAATTTAAAAGATACAAATGCTTCGGCATATTTAGTCCTCTGAACTTAAATTTAATTATAATCATAGCGTGTATTTTTTTTTTGTTATGCGGAGCTCTACTAAATTGGCAAAGTGGTGTAGGGTGTCATACAGTCGGCCCCGCCCGACTTTAAGACTTTCTTTACTGTTTTTTTTTTCTGAGGAAATTTTTCGAAAAAAAAAAAAACAATAAATTCAGAAAAATGTCACAGTTCGCATTTTTTATAATAAAATTCAATGATACAATGCGTTTTTAAGGCGATTCATGGTTAAATTATAGATCAAAATAATGATGTTTGACAGTGAAACAAAACACTAAACGTGCATAACCTGTTGTAACCAGTGTTGCCAAAATAATAATAACTAAAAAAACCAATCTTTGCGATTTTTTCAAAGTTGAAAAAAAATAAAATTTTATGAAAAACCATAAAAATGTGTTTGAAAATATTTCAAACATTTCCTCAAAAAGTCTTACATGCATTCTTTAAAACTAAATTAATCGTCCTTGTGAATTATTTATATTAAATATGTGAATTATATTTACATTCCTTAAAAAATTCAAAAGTTTGTCCTTCAAAAATATTTCTTTTAAAGTCCAAAATAGTCATTTGAAAAAGTTTTTTGGAATATTTACCATTTACGAATCTACTTTTATCTATGAAAATTTATTTATAATTGTCCAGTAGTCGGCACTTATAGGATATTTGCTTCTTCAATCGTTAACCATATAGAATGGAATTTCCCAATTCCGAATTATGCATACAAATCCACGATTTAATTTAGAACTTAAGAATAATTTCATAAAAAGTCACAATCTTAGAATTCACAATACAAACCTTGTTGTTCCGTTGAAATAATATTTTCAAAATTTCTTCGAAAATCATTTTTAAATTCCACGATTCTTTTCTGTCGGTGCTCCACCTTAAATGGGTGCCTATAACTTGTTTGGACCTTCAAACCTATTTTTAAAAGTCCCAATGTAGGTTTATTGGTCCCTGAAAAACTGTTCTTAAAATTTACATAGTCCTTTAAAAAAGTACTATGACTATGATTTTTAAAAATATTCTTAAATGCAGAATCTTAATTACCTTGCGATTTGGTGCAATTGAGAATTATTACCTCATACCCTCGTCGAAGTAATTTTACGTTTGTGTTAAGATATTTTGTAAAAATGTCAGGTTGATGACACCTATAGTAGGTCTTCTAGCTATAAAAGATTCAATGAATGATATATGATATTGGTACACACCAAATTTATTCAAATCCACAACATCCAGAAGTTCATTATCCCTGTCCATTCGTTCAAAAAGACAAATCTTCTCATCACCGATTATCACTTAAATATTCAAGTGTGAAATTCCCATGCCAACTACCAAGAATGATTACCATTAAGCAAACCAAATAAAATTTGCCAACATGTTTCTTTCCTCGAATCACAGCAAAATACCAACAACACGCCGCCAACAGCCATAGAAAAAAATAGTATCGAATGATTTGTTTACAAACATTCCTTTTTTGCCATTGCTTGGCCGTGTTTTTGCTCTTTGTTTTCATTTTCCAATTGGTTGTTTCTTTTTTTTGTCGTTGTTGTGACTAACATTACTGACTGACTGAATGGCTGGCTGGTTGGTTGGTTGGTTTTTCTTTCTATGGTAAACAGAGCAGCAGCATTTTTTTATTACTTTATTTTATTTATAGACAACAACAAAACAAAAACTCCCGCTTTAACAAAATTTATTCATATCGTTTTTTTGTTTTCATTTTATTGTTGGTTGGATGGAGGAGATCCCCCTTCCTCAAGTAGAGTTTTCACTGTGGGATTTTTTGACTCTGTTTTTTTATCAGTTTTTGTTGTTGTTTGTGTTTTAGGTGGCGTTGTGTTATTTACCTTTCAATTGGAGATATATATGCATGTTTGTTTTTCATCTCTCATTTCAATTCAATAAATACTTTTTTCATTTAGTGTTTTCTTTTTTATTCATTTTTTTGTTGTTTCGTCGTTTTTTCGCTTTTATGGTTCGTGTTTTTTAGTCATCGTCGTCGTTTTCATAGTTTACTGTCGTCGTCCACCAATCGTTCATTCGTTTTTTTGCTTTGTGTTGTGTTGTTGCTCAAAAATTTTAATTCACATTTCAATTGAAATTTTTTGTTGTGCACGCCTCAGTTTCTATAGATGTGTGTGTGTGTGTATGTGTTCGTGTTTGTTTGTGTGCAGGTTCGTGCCTTTCCTAAATGATGTTGTGATGTTGTTGTGTGTTCTTCTTCATATTTTGTAAATGGCCTGTTTTTTGCTGTTTCTTCTGCCTGCCGAAGAGAAAGAGAGAATTTTTCTAATGAGAAAAATACAGTTTGGTAGTGTCAATCAGTAATGTCAATTTCGCGTTTTTTTATAATTACTTGCAATGTGAAAATAGATGTGCTACTCATGGAAATGATATGTGTAGGTTCTGTTAAGACTGTATATGGGTATTTTTGATCAGCGCCCATCATCCTG